GAGAGCTGGTCCTGATGTAAGTTTTTTTTTGGGAGGGGGAGCAGGGTCATCCTGGGCCTGCCCTGTAGGCAGAGGTTATATATTGCCTCCCTACAGCACTACCGGCTAAGCTTTTTAAGAAGATGCATCATGCTTCTGGGTTGTGTTTAGAAGTCTAGTCAAGTTTTAACCAGGGAGGTTGCCACTGTTTTTCTTCTCAGCCTTTCAGGACTCGCCTGGAATTGCTGGTTAGAATGTATGTGCCTGTTAGATTGTCTCCATATGTATTAATCAACTCTCTTTTCAGATCAGAACCAAGTAAACCACTAAATGGAGACACCCCCCCCCAAAAAAAAGATAGAAAATGCGCTGAATGTGCCATTTATTTTGTATGGGAGCCACTAATTTAATAGTGATATTTTAATTGGAAAATGTGCATTCTGAAAAATACAATAGAATTTGATGTCCCAATGTAGCAATATATACAGAGGAGAGTATTTCCAGTGCCTCATCTGAGAAAGTTGCTTTAGGATATAATGCTTACTGTGTTAGCCCTTTATGCCAGAAAACTGCAAGTCGTATTTATTTGATGCCCAGAATTGACGCTTCTTATTCTCGATTGGCCTATGCCTGTGAAATATATTGTTAGCACTTGTTGAACGTTTGGCCCTATTTTTATTTAATATTAAGCCGATCAGACTATTTTGCTAGCTGTTATCGACATTTGCTTGAATACCAGACCAGTTCTCTTCAGTTGGCTGACTTATCACCCAAAGGGCATATCTCCTTAAACACTTGGGCAACACAACGCCCCCAAACAGTTTTGTCCCAGTCGTATCCACTTAACAATAGATAGGAGCAACAAATCTAAATGGACCTCTTTTATAAGAATGGCCTAGTTGGACATATGCTGTGTCAGATGATAAAGGCTGAGGTCACATAAAGAGCAGCAGGGTCAAGGAGCAGTAAGGTGAGAAGGTGGCTTGAGTCATCCTGGAAGTGGGGGGAGAGCATGAAAGGAAATTGCTTCAGAGATTCAGGCTGTTGCTCCAGCCAATCTAAACACCTCTGAAAACCAGCAGGGGGGCATTGCTCGTCAACTTTAGTGATTTAAATCAGAGCTAGAAACATGTCAGTTCTGCTGCAGTTAAATATATTACATGTTTTTATTTTCTGTTTGTCATACATAACATTGAGAAAGATTACTCTTGTCTCCCCGTCTGCATTTAATACCTCTAGCTAGAGTGGATCAGAATGAGTTCCAACATATTTTAGTAGCAAGCTCCTATACCATATTAAGGTTAACTTCTAATATATTCAGTTGTAATATTCTGTTTGTGTGGACTTGAGAGTAGGGGTGGGAGCCTGTAATCACCTGGAGGTTGTTGGACACCCAATTCCCATCAGTCCCAGCCATCACATTCATCAGTCGGGAATGATGGAAGTTCAGTGGTATCTGGCAGACCACTGGTTTGCCACTCCTGACTTTAAGAAACATTTAAGAGTTAAGGTGTTTTACTTGGTATGAGCAGAAGATTCTGTGCTGCATGTCTTAAACAATGTTCATGCTATCGAAACTAACCATACAGAATGAGTGAAACAGCTTAGTAGAAGTTTGGTATATTTAATACTATGAAATTCACCAGTTGATTCCTCACAAGGCACTTACGAACCAGGTAATAAACAATAGCAATTCAGGAAGAAACTTGAGATCTTGTAAAACGTAGAATGGAAAGATTTTACTTGTTTTGTTATTTCTTTAGGTTCTTACTATGATTTTCTTTCAGAACAGTGAGCTTGCATCTCAAAATGTCTTAAACGTGTTAACTTCTAACTATCCTATCCAAAGCTGCATGTCTTCTGTTAAAAAACAAACAAACCACAACTTGTGCAATTGATTTTAGTTCACGCAAACTGGACTTTCCCTTTTCCTCCACCTGCAGATCCCTATACAACCCCAAAATTTGCTGTGGGTGGGGATTGGGGGAGCTTTGGGGGTGTCAGGGAGAGGCAGTCCGATCGTGTCTCAATGCACAATGTTGGCATGGGAGAAACGGGCTGCTTTGAACCTGATGCCAAGTGGAATCGTAAGAATGAAAGGACCACAAGAAACCTACTTTTAACCAGTCTTTGCGCTGAAGCATTTGCCTAAAAGTAACACACAGCCCCACACACAGATCTAATCACTTCTTTCTGTAAGATTCTAGCTATTGTTGTCTGTTTGCACTTTACGATGAAGACGCTGTCGTCCAACTGTTGGATACCAACAGAGGCCTTACACAGTATTAGTTTTAAAGAAAACGTGACAGTAACATTCACATTGCTAAACTGAGAGCTGCTTGGCAGTGATGTGGGAGCAAACTATGCAGTAAAAAATGAATCTGCCTGGCAAGCCAATTTGCACACAGTTACTCATGACATTGCATAGCTGCTATATATTGTGAGCAGCAGCCCAGAGTTGACTGGTGGAGTTTTAATTAAGATTTTTTTTTTCACAGCTCAGCTCTCTTGTGCAGAGAAAAAACAACTTCTAGCTCAATTAACAGAACCTATCAAATTTTTTCAGGGCTTGTTAACGTTTCACAGCACTGCCCTATCATCTCAGAAGTTTCTGCTAAAAAACAACTCTTGGCCAAAATGCAAGTTCTTTTAAAAGGCAAGTTATTCTGGAAGGCTGTCTGTTCATATGTAACTCACCAAATAGACAGTCACTGCATGTAATTGCTAGGGTTTTACAAGTGCTTGTACTAGGTAGGTCTTTTTTTGTACTTAGGCCCCACACCACCAAATCCATCCTGATCAGTACAAAACAAAAACAAAAAACCTCTAGTAAAATGTTGTTTATAATGCTGCTCAAAACCATGGCATTTTCTGTTCAGTTTTCCTTTAAGTGTTGCTGTATGACAACTATGTATGCTAGTTTTCTTACTCATGAATCATAGCAATTTTTTTAGAAAGTGCCCTTTGAATGACCCTGTATTATTGCTGCACTTTTCAGTAATTAAATTTATGTACAATAAAAATAATTGTTTGTGATGAACTGAAATTAAAGGCACACACATCTGAATTGTTGAGTGACGTATCTATTTCGTGATCACGACACATTGATTTAGCTTTGTGAGGAACAGCTTAAAATTCTGTAAAAAACACCACCACATCCTGCATCCACATAATGTGCTGAAGTATACACACTGCTTCGCAGCAAGAGGCAGGACACCCCGCTACACAAGACTACTGCGTGTTGAAATTACACAAGTGCTGCACTCTGTGGCCATTGGCACAGTTGCGACTCCCTTTGTAGTGCTTTTAAGAACCTTCCATAAACACAAGCACAATTATCACTTCATCTGTTTTATTGGGCCTTATGTTCTATAGTGGTACCTCGGGTTAAGTACTTAATTCATTCCGGAGGTCCGTTCTTAACCTGAAACTGTTCTTAACCTGAAGCACCACTTTAGCTAATGGGGCCTCCTCCTCCTGATAACCTGGTCTTATTTAAGGCTTTAAAGGGGAAAATCAACACTTTCATTGGCTCTTTAAAAGCAGAAGAGGTGGTGCAGAATATGTCCTGTATATTCCTCTGAAAAAGGTATTGTTTAGCCTGCACATGTAACTCAGCAGCTGTTTTCTATGAGTTAAAGCATGGGTAGGCAACTAAGGCCCGGGGGCAGGATCCAGCCCAATCGCCTTCTAAATCCGGCCAGCGGACAGTCCGGGAATCAGTGTGTTTTTACATGAGTAGAATGTGTGCTTTTATTTAAAATGCATCTCAGGGTTATTTGTGGGGCAAAGGAATTCGTTCTTTTTTCTTCTTCAAAATATAGTCCGGCTCCCCACAAGGTCTGAGGGACAGTGGACTGGCCCCCTGCTGAAAAAGTTTGCTGACCCCCGAGTTAAAGCTTCCAGATCATCCTTAAAAGGCAACATTTAGCGCACATGACAGTAGTCTAATGTGGTTGTAACCAGGGCATGAATAGCTATGCATAATAAATAGCATAAACACTTCAATAAATTAATTAAAATGTCTTTGTTAAATAGGGGGGGGGGGGACCTCAACACCCAATGAACATCCATGACCACTCTGGGTGGAAGTAACCTCAGAAAAAAACCCAAATTAGCACTACAAATTATCTTATGTTTGTAACATTTAGTGCAGAGAGAGATCCCAAGCTACTGAAAATTCTGGGCCTGCTCAGTGGTTTCTGAAGTGAGATTTGAATAAAGAAACTATACGGAATTCCATGTGTTCTCTTTCATTATGATTTCTACGAGAAATCACTTTACAGCACACCAACCTATTTTTCAGTATGGTTTAATTTTGTTTATCATTCATTTGCTTCGCTTTCGAATCAGAACTCCAGCTTCAGTTGGGTTGCTCTCACTTAATAAATCTCTAAAGACTCCAGCAGCAATGATGAATCTTTTATAACCAATGAAGGAGGTCTGTGGTTAGTTTTCGTTGGACGTTATAGCATCATGTTAGAGCCCTGAAAAACAATTTTGGATAAATGCAGGCCCTGCAGTTTCTCAAGAGTACAAAGGGTTGTGATAATATGCAATGTCTACGATATGACAACTCTCTCAGATTCTAATGGGCCATAGCTGCTTAATGTGTTAAGTACCTGCCATCCCTAAGCTGAAGAATACATGCTGCAGGCTTGGTTATGCCTTTAACTAGGATGCATGATTTGAATTTGTAAGGAATTTTCCTGATTGCTGGAACATGAACAAATGGTTTGCTTTTTCTTATCCTTGAACATAGCAGAATTTTGTGTCCTGGGAAAGTCACTATCCATCTCTGGCATGTGGAAGTATAACTGTAAAAACAACAAAAATAATGTAAATATTGTAACCCTCACCCTTGGAGATATTGAGGGAAATTTAGCTGGTGTCAGATGCCTGGTGCTGATTCAGGATACTGCTGTTGCAAAGTCCCATCAAGTTAGCAAATATTGTTGCCATTAACTTGTAGTTGGAAGTACTATAAACTTAAACCAATAATTAAACAATGAAAGCATCCATATCGGTGTCAACTTCAGCTTTAATGATGGAATTACAACTTGCTATAACAACTTCAGAGGGAATCATTAAGGCTTCCCTATTTTAAAAAAATCAAAATAAATAGTACAAGTTTGTTTGTTTTTTAAAAAGAAAACCTTTTTTCAGTGTTTTCCACATCACCCTCCAGTCAGCTACTACCAAAGTCAAAACATAAAACAGTTTGCAATGCATCTTTGACAGATTGAGAACCTGACAAGAAAACAAAATTAAAGCCTTCCAAAAACCCCTACCTTTGGATCAATGTTGACCTATTCTTTGAAGCTTTGGTTTTTTTAAAACAAAAACAAAAACAAAACACCTGTAGTAACCAGTGTGTTTTCAGCTCGAGACTGCTTGGAATATAAATTCTGTTATTCCTGCAGTTCATAAAACACACCAAGAGAAGATGTAGGGGTAAGGAAAACACAAAGTTCAAGTAAAAATAATAATAATTAAGATTCACATACTTGTAGATTGTCATTTCTAGACTGAAATACAGTATTTAAATTTCGCGCAACCTGATTAATATTAAAATTCCAAACATCAACTTTTTATGAGTTTCAATATAATTAAGTGACTCCGAAGGCCAGTTTAGAATTCAGCTGCTCCCGGAATCAAGGCATGAGCAAAGAGCTAAGCCAAAATGCACTCCTCTTCCCCAGTTTACCACATCCAAGTTGGGCAGCCATTTTGGAACTGTGCACATGAGAATACGAACACAAACAAGGGTGGGGTTTTCTCCTGACTTGCCGATGGCATTTCTTCCACTGCATACAGGATATTCTGCTTCCTAGCTCTGATGGTGTCCATTCTGAGGCCAAAACGGGGGTGGGAAATGGAGCTTTCTTCCCTTACTCCACTGACTTCTTAACCCAGGAAGACAACCAGAGTGGAAGCAGGAAGCAGGGCCCTCCTGCCTTCACTCCGATCTGGCTTCAAGACAGATGGAGCCTTTCCCAACCTGTGGGTCCCCAGAGGTTGAACTACAACTCCCATCACCCCTAGCTAGCAAGGCCAGAGCTCAGGGATGATGGGAGTTGTAGTCCAACAACATCTGGGGACCCACAGGTTGAGAACCGCTGTAAAAAAAAAAGCTGCCATTTTGAAACAAAGCAACAGCACTCAGAAATGGGAAAAATAAAGGGAAATGCAGTGGAAGGAGCAAAAAAAGTCAGTGGGGACGGTCAGCGCCATTGTTGTTTTTTGCGGGGTGGCGCTACCCTCTGCACCCCTAATTTTGGCAGAAAGGGCTTAGTGATTAACTTTCGGCTCTGCTCTAGTGAAAAATCTCTTTCTGTGACAATGCTTTATGCAGAAGCCATGTTTGATGCGTCTTGCTAAGAGGATGGCGCCACTGTGTGCAAAGTGTACACACTCTGCCAGTTAATGGTGTGTCCCTGGCGGGGTATATACCCTTGCACACAACTGGCCAACATGTGTGCCATAAGAAGCATTTAAATGTTAACACTTCCCTCAACAAAGGGCAAAGGCTTCTGGGTGGCTGGCACATAGAAGCAGTTAACACCTAAACCTTTCCAATAATGTGACACATAGCCTTTGTAGAAAAATAATTCCAAAACTGATGTTCAACGCATAACCTGCACCCACTACCCTATGTGACTCTTGATTAGGTCTCCGGTAAAAAACAGTAAGACACACACAAAGCACTACAGTATTACACATGAAATAATAATAAAAACTCCAACAAGATATGCCTTTGATTGATACCTAATTCTACTTTTAAGTTATTGCTAGCCATTTAATATATCAAGATTGTCTTGGCAAGTCTGAGATTAGAACCTCTCCCTCAAACCTCAATATTTTGAGGGGAATAAGCAGCCAAAGTTTTAAAAACAATAAAAGGCACACTTTCCCAAGAGAACATATGTCTTGGAGTTGCATATAATCCCCACCAGGTGTCAGCAACTGGCAGATATTACTCAGAAATTTCAAAATTAATGCCCAAATAACTCAAAGGAGGGGGGATGGTTGCTGCTCACGATTCCTTAAATTATATAAATTATTACTCCAAACCAATATCTTTTTCCCCCCTGGGTGGCCGCAAATATAAACTTGAAAGTCTTTTGATACATTTATATAAAGGTTTGAATTGCACACCCATTTCTTTGATTTCATTTACACCTTACATACTTTAGATAAAAATAGTTCTGGGGTGAAATGCAGTTACAGTCAAAACACAAAATTCTTCCTCTTCCAATTATTTACCATGGTTCAGCAGCATACAGAATCCTAGCCAGTTTTTCAAAACTTGTATAGTTTAAACACAGAAACCAAACCAGAGATAGCTCAAGTTTCTCACAGCGCAAAGCTACTTTCCCTCCTAGCCTACTTAATTCAGAAAGATTTTCTTTCTTCCTTGAGTTTTTAAATAAAACCAGGAGAATGGCACTATTTTGCCTCTTTCTACGCAAAGGTACAAAGTTTTGTGGTGAGATCAAGGCAACGGCACCTTTCAGCATTGCAACAGTTGTGGATTAATTCCTTAAAAGCTGTTTTTACTCATGAAAACCTCAACCAAGAATCTGAGTGCATTTTAACAGCACATGCAAGACTGTGTGTTGTTGGTTGCACACAGCCTCTATGCAATTCAGCTTTTACTATATTTAGTAAATTCTCTCTCAATAATAGCATCTGAATATATTAATTTCAGTAATACTAATCAGCATAAACACTCAACCGTCTTTACAACACACTAACCAACTTTTCTCCAGTTCCAACATTCTCACTTCTCTCCTCTCTCACCTTCTTTTCTACTTCCTCTCTACCTTCTCCAGCTCAGACTACTTCAACACCTTCTGCATAACATTTGGGACACACCTATTCATCCCTTCTACAAATAAAAATAATATGTATTTCAAAAATATCAGAAGAAAGGTAGTGCAAAAATCAATTTTGGTATCCAATAGTGTGATAATCCTTATTCTAAACTGAGCTGAGATTTATAATAAAATCTAACTTGCACACCCCTTTAAGTTTTAAAAGCTACAAATTATAATTAAAGCACATAATGTCTCGTGTTTCACGGGGTCTTTGAGAACAGATTCATCATACAATCACAGTTAGCATGATGCGATCTTGAAAAGACTCGTGAAGTACACACACAACACAGGTCTGCAAATATTGCAAATTCCCTTTGCTGCTACCTGCAAGATGTAAAAGTATGTCAAATTTACAGAACCGCCTCTTTGATAACAAAAAAAGGTCATATGTTTTAATGACACAGGTACTCTTGCTCTTGCTCTGGGGGTTGGCATGCTATGCAATATTTGGCGATTTGTATTTTCCCCGAGTGTTCTTTGGCCCCATTTTAACCTGGTTTCCAGACTCCACCAAGGGCTTCTTCAAGTTTGTCTCTGTATGCTGCATAGCGTCTTTGTAAGATTTGCAGCTGCTCATCTTCTTCCTTGTCCAGTATACGCAAGAAGTTCTGTAGTTCAGGAACACTAAAGGCTTCCCACTATGGAGGGGAAAGGGGATTACAAAAGCATGTAGATGATTAAAAAAATCTTTTGATACCAGTTAAAATCCAGTCTGTAATTTAAACAGGTCCTTCTCTGGCCTACAAAAGAGCCTGAGAGTAGTACACTTGACAAACATCAATTGGGAAATAGCCCAAAATCCTGGCAATGGAAAAAAGTAGGACTTGAAAACCCTCAAAACCCCCTCCAAGCTGTTTAATGCTATAAACAGAGCTGCCAACTTACCAAAAACTCTCCAGTTTCATGCTCACGCAGAACAAAACTCAGCATGTCTGTCCTTGGGCCTGCCACCAACCGCAAATAAAGGGGATGTTCAATTTCTGAGAGCTTGCACATATACACTGAAAAAAGTGTGAGATTAAAAGGGGTGGGGAGTAAATACGCATACAGAATTTCTGCTGAACTAAGACTAGAACTAGATCAATATACACCCAAAAGACACACCCCCTACACACCTCAAATGTTGCTGCACAAACTGAGAATTATGAGCAAAGCTCATTACATGAGGCACAGCAACAATGACAACTGCTAAAGCAAAAAAAGGAAACACTAAGCAAAACACCCAAACTTAAACATATTCAGAATACACAAAACTGACAAGTGTATATGCAATCAGTTTCCTGCAACTTGTGGTAAAAAAACACACAACCACTTTATTTTACAGCCAAGACTCAAGTATATCTAAAGGACCACTTTTGCCAGATGAACATTCCTAAGCACTGGAATGAAATCTTGTTTCTTCTGTTTGGCCTGTGAAGCAATTTAGCATTCAGAGAAGATAGCCTTCTTAGTGGTGGCCCAACAGCAAGGGTAGAAAGAACCGTTTCCAGAGCCTTTTTCAAAAACAAGAACATTTATGCAGTTTCAGAAGGAAGATAAGAAAGGCTGACTCAGTTCTTTATGCCTTTTATGGTTCTGGTTTATGGCTCCCTTGCTTGCTCATTTAAGAATCTTGTAGCAAATGTATGCGATTTTATTAGACAATATTATTTATGTGCTTTTTCAATTCGTACACCACCTAAACAGAAAAATGGTACTGTATTTTCAAAACATGATACAAGTGCATGTTGTGTTTAGTAGGCCTAGTATTTAGATGTAAACAGGTCGTCCTATACAGTAGTGCAATGTGGCTGGATCTAAACAGTGTTTGGAATGTGTTGGGTTGTGTATCTAATGACGATTTTGCCTTAGTAGAAAGCACTCACCTTTTTGCTGTTACTTCTTATCTACTACAGCCCTCTGCAGTAAAATCCATCAAGCTGAATAAATCTAAGTATTTTCCAACACACACTAGTGCTCCTCAATAGGGCCAGGTGATACTTGGTTTTCAGCATTGTGATATATCACCAGCTAAACATTGCGATAAACTGATATATCACAGTGTCTGAAGTAAGGATGGAGTTTTGTAGAAGCATCAGACATGGGCTGGCTTCATGGTTTTTCCCACATTGTGATTTTTGCATAGCGCGCGCATACACGTAAGGGTTCACAATATATTGGGAGGTGAGAAATTATGAAACCGCTATCACTAGATGGCAGTGGTTTTCAACCAGTGTGCCATGGCCCCCTGGGGTGCCTTGAATGATGGTCAGGGGTGCCACCGGCAACTCTGTCCCTCCCTCCTTCCTCTGATGCCTTCTTGCATCTCTGCCTCCCCAAGGCTTGCACAGCTTTTTGTTGCAGCAGCCCTGGCTACAAGTTCCACAGGTGAATGGTGCTTCTAGGGCTGGCCAGGGGTTGCTTCCCAGGCCCCTGTGGGGCAGTGGGAGAAGGCACCTCTCTTTGGGTCACGGGAGGGGCAGCTCAGAGACCAGGGGTGGCAGCTGCAACTGCCCAGACGACTCCTAAGGAGAGAGGAGAGGAGACGAGGCTGAGGGAACACTCCACAAGGGAGTGTGTTCGAAAAGGGCTGAAGGGCTGGCGGCTCTGCAGGCAAGGGGTGACAAAACTGGGCTCCTGAGCCCCACAGGGGTGCCGCAGAAAGAATGTAGTTGGTCAAGGGAGCCGTGGACCCAAAATGGTTGAAACCCTCTGCTAGATGGGACTTCAAACCGGGCAGCCCTCCTCCCCAAGTCTTAAGAGTACAGAGTGACCATATGATCATTCAGAAGATTTAGAAGCATACCTTGATCCTCCTTGTGACAACGTTTATAAAGCGCAAACTTGGCAGGGTTATCAGCCACCATGAACTTCTTGAGCAAAGCTTCAATAACTTCACGAACAGTGTTAGTGCTGCTGATGTGAAGGGTATTTGTGTAGCCGTTAGGCAAGCAAAAAGCTGTCTCCGAGTTGTTGTTGACATGCTTCCCGGGACTCGCAGGAGCCCGTACCGTGATGGGTCTGCACAGTTCCATCTGAACTTTGATGAAGCCGGTGTATACTCCGCTGGAGTGCTAGAATACACACAAAAACTATAGGGTTAGTTCTTTCAAAATAACCAGAAGCTCAAGGATCAGATACAGTTCCGTACATCCATATTTGCTCCCCCCCCCACACTTTTCTAATGCTTCCACATCACATCACAACAAAATCAACATAAAAACCCCAAAACAACACAAACGGATGCAGACATAGCTCAGTTGGCTAGAGCACGGTGCTGAGTTTGAGTCGCAAATTTGATCCCCATGTGGGACAGTTGTATATTCCTGTACTGCAGCGAGTTGGGCTGGAAAATCCTCAGGGTCCCTTCCAATTCTATGATTCTATGATTCTACGATAACATGAAAACCAACTCAGAGGAGCTGGGGGGAGGCTTATCTGCCATTCTGCCACGTATGGCAAAAGTCTGGCATATAATTTCTTTCAAAGTCTTTACTAGCCAGCAAGAAAGAGAGCCACCCAGGTTTTGTGGGGCAAGCGGATATAAAATGGAATGCGGCCTTTGAAAGTCACACTCAAATTTACTTCCATCATAGATGAAACGTAGAGAAAGGCCCCTCCACCAGATGTTAAGGCAGCGTGCTCTTTAGGTAACCTGGGCCCAAGCCTTTTAGGGCAAAGGCGGGTAACTGCCAGGCCGCAGATCAAATTAGGTCCGCCAGGTCTTGGAGAGACGCAAATCACAAACATCTTTCCTATGCTTGATAGCATCTATGATGTCAAGCACAGGGGAATTTCAAGCCACAGCTAAAAGGAAGAAAAACTAGAAGCACACCCCCAGATTCCTCCTTTGAATTCAAGCTGGCAATACAAAAGATCTTCCTCTGTGAGTGAGCTTGCCATGAATGCCGATCAGCTGACTAGGGGCCTACAGCAAGGCCTGCTGAGCTCTGCTGCACTACCTATCCTTACACAAAGCAGAGTTTGCTCTCAAAGTATGGCTTGTTTGTTAAATACCTTGATTGTTAAAGGTAAAGGGACCCCTGACCATTAGGTCCAGTCGTGGCCGACTCTGGGGTTGCGGCGCTCATCTCGCTTTATTGGCCGAGAGAGCCGGCGTACAGCTTCTAGGTCATGTGGCCAGCATGTGGGCAGGAGCAGGGACCGAGCAACGGGAGCTCACCCCGTCACGGGGATTCGAACTGCCGACCTTCTGATCGGCAAGTCCTAGACTCTGTGGTTTAACCCACAGCGCCACCTGCGTCCCTACCTTGATTGTTAGGGCCTGTCAAAATGGCCCTGAGAAGGGTAAGGGAGCTCAGGATTTGGCCTGCCAGCCAGATCCCATTCTCTGCCCCTGTTGTAGGGCTTTAAATGGTTAATTTTCAAAACATCGACTTGTGCAGCTCTTGCAGAACAGGTCTCACATGATCCCAAGGGCAAGTACCCACTAGCATCCTTGCTCCTGCATCCTAAATCAACTGGAACTTTTGAAGATCCTTCAGAGGTAGTCCCATGACACTGCTGGATTTAACTAAGGCATATGCTGAATTTGCCTGTTTTCATTTTCCTCTCTTTGACTGCAAACCAATAAGGTAGCACCATTCTGCTATATAGTGTTTAGGAATATTTTAAGTACAAATACACAGAATGTGAAAAAAATGAAATAAGTAATATATGATAATAAGTATTTTTTGTCCAAGCCCATATACTCAAAGCGGGACGCGGGTGGCGCTGTGGGTTAAAGCCTCAGCGCCTAGGACTTGCCGATCGAAAGGTTGGCGGTTCGAATCCCCGCGGCGGGGTGCGCTCCCGTTGCTCGGTCCCAGCGCCTGTCAACCTAGCAGTTCGAAAGCACCCCCGGGTGCAAGTGGATAAATAGGGACCGCTTACCAGCGGGAAGGTAAACGGTGTTCCGTGTGCTGCACTGGCTTGCCAGATGCAGCTTGTCACGCTGGCTACGTGACCCGGAAGTATCTGCAGACAGCGCTGGCCACCCGGCCTCTAGAGTGAGATGGGCGCACAACCCTAGAGTCTGGCAAGACTGGCCCGTACGGGCAGGGGTGCCTTTACCTTTATATACTCAAAGCATACAGTAGTGATTTGATGTTGCCGCCATGCACCCCTTTAAACTACCAAAACTATTTAAAAAAAAAACTTTACACAAAGTCTTACCAATGTCATCTTTAGCTTGTCAGTGACATCTGAATTGTACGTCTGGACTTTTTCCTTGATTGCTTCTTTGGTAAGATATGTGTGAGCTTCTCGCTCTTTCTGAACATCCTAAAGCAAAAGAGATTTGACAGTTTTAAAGATACCAAAAATATATACTGTATACTACTACTTAATATTTATTGAGCATTTCTAGCTACTGAACTAGAGGTTTTAAAAATGAGAGCTGATGTACAAAAGTTTTAATGTAAATGTATGTGTTCCATATTAGGTCACATATCTACCATGCATTTAGGTCACATATCTACCATGCATTTAAAGGTCACTGGAGTCATAGAGAATTGTTGGAAGTGGTAGTTTCTGATGGGTGCTGGGACATCTATGAGATCAGTAGACTACAGTTCCCAAAATTGTCCGTAGCTCTTAAAGTGGTATAGTAGCGCTTAAAGTGGTGTGGATGCGACTGTCACATTCCACACACTACCAATGTATATAATGGAATCAACCTTTAGCTTTCAATGAATGGCTTAGGAGCAGGCAGCAAGTGGAATCGGATTGATGCCCTTATGCTCACAAAAGGACCATGTAGCAGGTGTTCTGCAGATTCCTTCACTCTCCTGAATTCCCTAGCATCCCTGAAAATCAGCTCCTGAGATTTTCTGCAGAGAGAAATCAGCAAAATATGCCTCCCTTGCTAGTTGGTTAAAAGGAAGCATCCAAATGAATCACAAGCCCATGGACACCAAATGGATTCCTACCCAGAGAGTGGAGATACAAGTCACTCACATATCTAATCATCATGTTCCCATGTTGTCTGACTCCCTACCAGACTAGAAAATGAATTTATGGGCTTTGGACAAGATGCAGAAATGGTAAGGGAAGACTCTTCTGTCTCATCCAAAGAAATCTGAAATCAATGTACTGCAATATTCACATTGCAGAATACAAAGCACCAGCAAAAGTGGTGCACTTAAGAGAACCACTTTGAAACAAAGCATGCCCAAATCCAATTGTGTTCACTTGTCCACTATTTGCATGCAAAAAAAAATTATTGCTGGGGTATCTTATTTCATGATATGTCTCTCCAAAGCCATGCAGAGTTTGAGCATGTAGCGACTGATTTACTTTGAATCATTTAACGTTGGGTGACAGCTGTTAGGCAGAGAGCTAATGTGGTACAGAAGTAACTGGAAATTGTGGGGCAGGGAGAAGAAGAGACAGAATTCCTAGTGCCCAGTTCTAATCCCCGTTTAGCTATAAAGCTCACGGGGTGAGCAAACCTGCTCAAACTTGGCGTGAGAGTAAAATGCCCCTAAGTTCCTTGGGCACAAACTGAAGACGTTTAAAAAATGGTTCTTAAGGAACTGACGGGCGGAAAACCTTTAACGGACAAGCACCCCAATTGAACCATTCTTGAAATGAAGATTAATCCTTAAACGAGGAAGGGTATATTTTCCTCACCCCACTTTGACCATGGCCAGCAAATAACCAAAAAGCAATGTGAAGAGCTACTATTTACATGGGGGGGGCAGCTTAGCCCTTACTAGATTTCCATTGGTTAGTTTTAACCTTGTTGTAAAAAAAATAAGTTATTATCCCAAAACAGCTTTCTCCAAGTGGCATATTGATTTTTACAGTCCAATACAAATATGTTCCTTAAGCGCAGGATATTTTTCAAAGGGCATTTGCTCTCAACCCATATGGAAAACTGGTGCTATTAATACACTTCCATTATTTGCACGAACACACCATATATAGCCTGAAATTATTGCAGCTCTCAACTTTAGTGAACTGAAACATCTATTTAATTGCCTTCACTTGAAAGTCGTCTCATCAGGCGTATCTAACACAGGATCAAAATACTCAGAACATACCCAGGAATGGTTACTAGGCCTTTGCTCCCTCAAACAGAAAGTTTACACTTAAGCTGCTGGGTGTGTATCAAGAATCATAGAATTGTGGAGGATCATCTAGTCCAAACCCCAGCAATGCAGCAACCTTGGCATGCTCTAACCAACTGAGCAGGTTGCTCTAAAAAGCATTAGGAACATGAAATTCTGAGAATACCAAAAGTTCTGCTTATCCAGCAATTGATGAATAAGGGCATTAACATACTCTCAAAGCTTTCATCACTATAAATATCATGATGTGGACCTATCTTCGGCACCCCTGACCACCTTTTGCATGACATCTTTAGAAGATAAAAACGGGATAAAACTAAAGTGACTTCTAACAGCATAAATCAATCAGTATGTTTCTATTAAACACACACATACACTACAACTGGGCGATATATCGATATATATCATCCATAACCAGTTTGAAGTCCATATTGAGATATCGGTTTCATGATTTTTAACCTGGCAATATATTGTGAACCATGATATGCGTGTGTGTCCCATACAAAAATCAAAACATGGGAAAACCCATTAAGCCAGCCAGTGCTCTCGATACCTGCAGTCCCTATTAACTCTGGTGGCTCTGTTTTTCCCTGCCTCCTGCAGGTAGCAGCGAATCACAAGAGCAGGCACCAGCAAAAATCACAATGCGGGGAAAACCGTGAAGCCAGACCATGCCTGATGCCTCTACAAACCTCCGTCCGTATTTCAGACATAGTGATATCACGATGTTTAGCTGGTGATATATTACACAATGTTGAAAACCAGGTATCCCCCAGCCCTACCATGCACATGCGCGTGCACACGCGCACACACCGGTTATCAAAACCTGTTTATGTGCAAGCTAGTTTTGTGACCCTGTGGGAAGGCCAGTCGGCTGCTATTGCTCCTTCTTTTGTGCAAACTAGCGTGCAAGTTTCTGCTACCGCGGAAAACCAAACCATAAAAAGAGCCAAAAATATAACACAATTTATTTGCGTGTGCCTGTGTATGTGAGAGAGTAGGAATACGAGAGACTTATATGTACTTGCGATACTAAAGTAACTGATCACGTTTATCATGCTCTCACTCCAAAACCACAAGTTCTGCCATACCCTATATGGTTGTGCTTTAACTGCTGGCACACAACCCAGTTCTAAACAGAGTAGGTTGTTTAAAGTTTGAAGCTGCAAGAATAGCATTTAGATTCCTGGCACTTGATTTACAGCAAAAGGCACAGCAGGTTACCCATCCATTTACAATGGAATAAAGGGTTTTGTTTTGATGAAATATACTTTTCATACAGGCCCATGTGACCTTGTGTCAGTTTGTAAAAGGAATGAGGAAACTTGGAACTTGGTATGTAAAGAAATAATTTACTAGAACTCTGAAACTGTTTTCATCCCATTTTACTAAGATTCAGGGTAGCAGACATTTTAAGATAGCGGTGTCTGAGAGAGACCTGCCCCCCAAACGAAGCAATGAACCCCCCAACGCTATCCACTAAACCACATTGGCTGAGGTGCAGCACAACACTTGAGACTTTCACAAGGATGTTTACTGACTTAGTACATTCACATCCTGCTCTTTTACCAGAGTCCTCAAAGCAGCTAACATTTATGAAGTACAGAAGATACACCAGGCGCCAAATGCTCACAAAATAGAATAGCCAACATCTTTCCTTCCCATCACGGGAGGACAGGGGATCCGGTCTGACTGCAGCAGGCCCAGATGTTCTTCTATGTTATTCAATGAGCCACCCTACTAACACCCAGGAGCTTCCATAGCACACTAATAGGACTGAGTGATATATCGATACAGTATATTGAGAGCCAGTGTGGTATAGTGGTTGAGAGCGGTGGACTCGTAATCTGGTGAACTGGGTTTGCTTCCCCTCTCATCCACATGCAGCTGCTGGGTGACCTTGGGCTAGTCACACTACTTTGAAGTCTCTCAGCCCCACTCACCTCACAGAGTGTTTGTTGTGGGGAAGGAAGGGAAAGGAGAATGTTAGCCGCTCTGTAGTGTAGTGAAAAACAGGATATCAAATCCAAACTTTTCTTCTTCTATATTGTTTGAAGTCCATTTCGTGATATTGGTTTCATAGTTTTTGACCTGGCCGTATATCGCAAATCATGGGTGGGTGTGCATGCACTATGAAAAAAATCACAATGCAGGAAAAATCATGACGCCAACCAATGCCTCCGCATAGCTCCACCCTTATTTCAGACATCGTGATATATCGGCCTATTGAGATGTTTAAGCTGGAGATATAGCGCGACACTGAAAACCAGGCATCGTCTAGCCCTGAACCTATTGCTTACCAAACCATACATGGCGCATCTCTAAGCAAGATCATCAATTTCCCCTCTGAGAGTCCATGTTTCCTCAGACTACCACCCTGAAAACAACGGTGCTCATCTGAAACAATCCCTGTGATCATGCACAGATCCTGATACAAGCTTTTCTTCTCTGCAAACCGTTGTTATGCAACTATGACTATGTCAACGTGCTCTAAGTTGTACTCTACAGTGGTACCTCTGGTTACGTACTTAATGCGTTCCGGAGGTCCGTTTTTAACCTGAAACTGTTCTTAATCTGAAGCACCACTTTAGCTAATGGGGCCTCCCACTGCCGCCGCACGATTTCTGTTCTCATCCTGAAGCAAAGTTCTTAACCCGAGGTACTATTTCTGGGTTAGCAGAGTCTGTAACCTGAAGCATATGTAACCTGAAGCATATGTAACCCGAGGTACCACTGTATTTTCTGTTTTAGCTTGTACAGTGGTACCTCAGGTTACATATGCTTCAGGTTACATACGCTTCAGGTTACAGACTCTGCTAACCCAGAAATAGTACCTCGGGTTAAGAACTTTGCTTTAGGATGAGAACAAAAATCGTGCTCCGGCGGTGCGGCAGCAGCAGGAAGCCCCATTAGCTAAAGTGGTGCTTCAGGTTAAATACAGTTTCAGGTTAAGAACAGACCTCTAGAACGAATTAAGTACTTAACCCGAGGTACCACTGTATTTTGGAAAATACAAAAGGGGCTGAAAAACGCTACCTCTGCTCAAGTCATCGTGCACAGTGAGAACAATGCACCAATCCTGAGCTGAAATCACTGTGTGTGATTCCTGCCTCATTTACCTGGGATTCTGATTTCCAGTAATCTTCTCCCTGTATCTGCTCTGGTACCAACCATGTGGTGTCTGCCCCCCCCCCAGGGCTGCATTACTTA